TTAGGCAAAGGGATACTTACTGTACTGTACATTTAATGTAAAACAATGACTGCATTAAAAAATATTCCAAGAGGAATAGAAGATATCCTACTAGAACGAGTTCCCAAAAGTCATAACTTTGTTTCATACGTACCCTAAGCACCTAGGAATTACAATAAATAGTTCTTACATGAGTTTATGAGTGAATCCATGTTTTATTAGAGATGTTATGTGTCTGTTTGAAGAAGAACCAAATCAAGCAAATAGGAATTATTAATTAGAAAGCTCCTTCTTAATGCCAGCTTATGTTTCTCAGATATCTTCCTCTTCTTGCAGTATAGCTTCTCAAGCCTGCCTTTCTTTTCACTTTCTGCCAACTTCTTTCCATTTTATTTTCATAAGTATTCATAATTATTACAATTATATTTATAATTCAGTGGTGCATCCAACAAGGTTCTGTGAATTGCCATGAAAAAATTTAAATGATGTAATTCACCATTTATGGCTCTTCATACTTGTACACTTAGAAAATTAAATTAAAAAAAAAACACGAAAAATTCTTTCTTTAATAAATCAAAAAAAAAAGTTAGTTAATTATCCTATTTTTTTTCCTGTTTATACTTTCTAGGAAAACTTCTTTACCATTCCAATACATGTTTAAAGTGGAGTAAAAATTAAATAGAATCCATCAGAATTATAAACTAATCTAAAATGAAATGATTTGGGGGACTGTAACTCTCATCAAACATTATACAATCATTTAAGAAATTTTCACAAGGTGTTTAAAGAATACCTTAATAATTTGTAATGATTTTGACCTTTATTATGTAAAATGTTGAACTGTCAAGATGACTGCTCATTTGATTGTTAATTACCTTATATGAGACATTCAATAAAGATAGTTTTTTTGTGAAAAAAAAGAAAGTTAAAAGGAAAAAAAATAATCTCACAAACTGCCCTGTAGTGATACACTTGGTCCACTTGGAAGAAGAAGTAGAGATCAGTAAACCAAATATGTAAACAAAGCATTTAACAGCAGGGCCAAGATAATTAAGTCTGAGTTTATTCTCATTCTTTCTTTTCCTCCATATTAAGACATTTATTTATGTGGCTTTGGTGATGGTCGAATATAAAGTTATCCTTATGTAATGGATGACATTCAGGAAAATGTGCCTAGGTGACCAATCCAATAATATTTACAATCTCAAAAGTTATATTATATTTAATTTAAATTCAACAAAAGTTCATTCTAATTTCAAAGGCAGACTATCACGGTAGCTAAGGACATGTCCTCTAGAATTAGGATCTCGATGCTTGAAACTTATCGCTGACTCTTGTTAATTATAAGGACATGGAAATTTACTTTACTCTTTTGTGCCTTATTTTTTTTCTTCTAATGTAAGTAGTACATTTTTTTATAGATTTTGTATAAGGCCTAAACATATGTGAAGTTCTTAATGGGTTTGTTCAAATAATAGTTGCTGATGTTGGTTTTTCTGTTTTCCTCTTCAGACCTACTGTGTCCTTCAGTGCCCTACTCTGTGATAGGGGGAGGCTGACCTTTATGGTCTTCACCACTTTGGCCCTCTTATCCTTTCATTTATGGTTGGATTTGCAACTAGAGACCATGAAAATAGATGAAAAGTCAGGAGGAGTGGCGATGAGGTAACCACTCTCCCCATTTTCTTATTACCTGATTGTGTCTTGGGCAAGGATTATGTTTTTCTATCTTCTTTCTATACCAAAGGTCACAGTTATTATTTTGTGCTCTTTATGCCATGGGTCCATCTATTGTGGGTCTGTTAATACTGGTCCCTCCCCACTCCTCCATCAGATATCGGGAGGAAATCAGGCTTGCTGTGAACCTAGGCCATAGTGTTTCAACATCCTTTGTTGATTTTTTAACTTTATTTCATTCTCCTCAGTTAACCATTTGAGTATACCATTTATTTGCCCCAGTATCATAAGTAATATAATGCTGAATCATTTAATTTAAAATAAATATTAGACGATTTCCTACGGGTCAATGAAGTATCATTAACAGTGATAAGATTGGGGGTTTCAAATCTTAAGTGTGTCATGGACAGCATACACTTCCTAAGAAGTAGAAGGGATATGTGTGTGTATGTGCAGACCTGGGACTAGACTGCAGTTAGAGTAGAGTAATGGCTAGAGTAGAGAGACAGACCACCCTGCATGGGTTTTACACATTGTCCTTCCCTTCTGTTTCCCATTTCTTAAGTGTTAGAATTCAAGGTGTTTTGAGGGTGGCTAAGTGGAGTCTAATATAGACCAAATCTGAGTTGTTGTTTTTTTTCCAAATTTAGTGGGCATCAAAATTTTGGAGTGGACAGGTGGGTTGAGGGGAGATAGGTGATCCTCAGTGTTAGGTGGAAGCTTCCAAAACCATATAAGGAACAGCTAGACCTGAATGGTGTTTTTAGGGAGAATTAAGAAGGCCATGCCTGGTTTCCATTCAAGTAGCAATTACAGGAAGAAACAGGAGGCCTGAAAAATTAAGTGCAATGGCTGTCTACTGTAGGAGTGTAATATGTGTAGCAATATTTTACTGAACTGGACATTCAATTGACAAGTCCATATTGCATCACAGAGGACTTCTGTGAAACAGACTATTCCTATACCTCTACTGAGCACCCATATTTGGGGTCCATGCAGGGCTGAGTTTGCAGGAAACAGACCCTTATGAATCATAAAGGTGAGACGCAGGCATATAAGCATTAAAAATGCTTGTTAATGAAACAATATTATTTTACGTACAAATAACAGTAGTTTTACTCAACCTGGAAAATAATTTAAAATAATTGGCCTTATGAAGCTTTCCCAATATTGAGTGTTTGGAAACACTCAAGTTGAGTGTTTAAAGTATAAATACTTTAATTCTCACAGTTATCACAGTAGGACTAAGGAGAGTATAATGTAATGTTAAGAGGAAAGAGGTTTCAGGGTCTGAAGTCAGATTTCCTGGATTTGAATCCCACCTCTCTCTGCTACTGACTCTCTGTTGTAATCCTTCACATTTATATATATATATATTTTTAACCTCTGCATGTCTCACTTGCCTCTACCAAATTTTTGGGACTTGAATGCTACCTATTTATTGAAATACTGTGAGGATTGTATAAAGTTATACATGCAAACCAACTAGTAGAGTATCTGGCACATAGTATATATTTAATACATCTTAGTTTTTTTGTTATATGTGCTTCTCCCCAACCAGATTCTATGAATACCTTGAGGTATGAATGTATCTATAAGACAAATAATATAATAGGTATGTATATTATTCATCTTATCTCATTTACAAAGTTTATCATATGGCAAGTACTAAAGAAATATTTGCTTAATGACTAAGTGAGGTTAACTTGCCTTAAAATATGAACCTGAAGACAAAAGCAGATCTTATATATTACCTTTTATTGCAATTGTCACTTGAGTTTTCACATTAATCACTAAAGAAGAGACTTAATACTTTACTGCATTTTAAATGTCTTTTTTTCAATATTATCACATCAATGTAAGTGCATATTTATACCCTTGGGTCCATATATACAGAAGTACCTTTATACTTAAGTTTGGATTTGTTCATAATATTATTATTTTCCAAAAATTAAAAATCACATTGAAACAATAACTAGTAATAAACCATAGGCATCGATAAGGGGGATGATAAACTACTCATTTGTAATTCTTTCTATGGAGAATGTCACAAATTTTTTAAAGATTTTATTTATTTAGTTTTAGAGCAGGGGAAGAGGAGAAAGAGGAGAGAACTATCAATGTGTGGTTGCCTCTCATGGGCCCCCTACTGGGGACCTGGCCTGAAACCCAGGCCTGTGCCCTGACTGGGAATCAAACCAGTGACACTTTGGCCCTTCAGTTCACAGCCCATGCTCAATCCACTAAACTTCATCACCCAAGGCCTCACAGATATTTTTATACCATGAAATTATATTGAATCTACTTAATTTGTATTAAACAATATACAGAGGTCAGCCAATGCTATTTTAAACTTTGGTAACCATCCAATTAGCATTAACATATAAAAAAGACTTTGTTTCTCCTGTTTACTAATTCTGCAATTTATTTTTTAGTTTATAAGAAATACTTTTTCAAATTTAAAAAAGGAGGGTTTCTTGAAGGAAAATAGAGAACTATGACTATTAGTTTCAAAATGAACTACAAAGTAGCACCAGGCCAGTGCACTGAAATAGCTAGGGAGAGTGTCTTCATGCTTTATAGTTATTTAGACAGTATCCATTTGAGTATCTTACTGTTTAAGAATATTTCTGTTAATATTTCATGTTTATTATGAGAGAAAATAATATATAAATTAATGACAATCACTATTTTTTATTTTCTAACAAGTAAATGAAATTGCAATAAAGGTTTCATTAAGTATAACCCATTTAATATTCACGTAATCACTAGATGATAAGAGATATAGAAAAATCACATTTGTTTTTTCACTAGCTTCCCCAGTAATCAGCACTGAGCTTGAAATACATTTTACACTCAATAATTATGTGTTAAACAAATGGATGGTCTTTCCTTTGAAGTAGGGCCTTATTGGAAAAGTATTGGCTTTGTTTATTGCTAAAGTCTAAGTATCACTGAATGTACAACCTGAATCAAATTTACCTTTGTTTGGCCCAATTCTCTACACTTCTGGATCCTGTAGGCCTAGGCTTTCAGTGAGAGAATGCCTGAGGGATGCCTTCACTTTATCAGGTGTAGGACTTTTGTAGAAGGGGGGAATTCCAGCCTAAAATTTCTAAGAGACTCACTGACAAAAGCACTGTAATGAAAAGAAAAGCCTGCAAAAATCTATTTTGGATGGACATAAATTGAAGGCTGGAAAATATAACCATTAAAAATATCTTAGACAGAGCATAGTCAGGATTTGCTAAAGCTCTTTGAAGATGATTGCATCAGTTAATAAAACGTAAATAAAGAATAAAGTAACTGTAGAAGCCCCAATCACAGGCTCAGATCACACTTACCAGAACAGTCACTACACGGAGAACCACTCCACGCATGTTATTCTCCAGTTTCTTGTCAGTCAGTGACCCATTCAGCCCAGTGACCGGGTTCCAGCACCCAAGCTGAAAGATAAAGCAGCACATCACTTTTATGCCACAAGAGCAGTCCAATCGCCTATGGACAGACCTTCCAGAGAACTGTGTGATAAAACTTGAAATAGCCCTGTGTAGGAAGGGTCCTGTGCAGGAAGAGCCCTGTGCAGGTTTTCTTTTTCACTAGTGAATGAGCAATCAAAAATACTATTTGCTGCTCTTAACTATCATCGCATGGCATATGACAGTACTGGAAATGCTTTAGGAGACTGGCCATGGACATCCAACTTAATGAGAAGTTATAAATACACCAAATAACTCAGTCCCAGGAATGCACTAATTGGAAGAATAATAGTGCATGTAATTCTAGCATGATGTCTGCTTTAACATATTGATCGTTGCATAAGTTAGATGTTTTTACAGTGTCAGTGGTTTTAATTAGATGTTTACACTGCTTTTATTGGAAAGGATTACTGCTTTTATCTAAGGAAAAATCATGTATATGGCTTTGTTGATTTCAAATATTCACAGTACAGAAGACAATATAATTTGCCCTTTTTTGTCAGTGCTATCATTTAACTTGGATAATTTTGGCAACAGTCTTTTCCTTAAAGTCTTGTCATGATTCACTGCTTTTTACTCTTCAAAACACTGGTTTAATTTTACATCTTCATGTAGTTCTTATCTCTTGTAATATCCAAATCCGATGACTACCAGTTTTTAAATTACTACCTATAAATCACAAGGCATAAAAATGGATGACTCTCCATTCAGAAATAATGAGAAAAGGAGGTGCTGTGACTTGAATTAGCAGATAACTGCTCAAGAAGCAAAGCTGCGAAGGGAATGCTGTAATGTGTATCGTGGGGAGAAATGTCATGCCATTAATCCTGACGCCAGATCCATGAGCCTTCACATTTGGGATCCTATTCCACACTTGCCAGCTTAAAAAACGTGACAAAGCCTTCAGTCACATTCAGAGAATGTTTTGGTTAACTGAATGGTTTAGGGGGGCACATGGTTATTCATGCTGCTTCTTCCTACAGACTGTGATTTATTTCTTTGTGTTGCATTTTGTTTGTGGCTTCCAAAGTCATCAACACACTGGCATGTATCCCTCACAAACAAATCATTCAGGTGCTTCCTATTAAAGCTTAGCTTCTCTTTGACTTCCCCAAAAGGACTTTAATTAAGAAAGCTAAAGTAGACATAATACAATGTGGGGCAAAAGTAGGTTTACAGTTGTTCATATGAAAAATAATACAATAATTAATAAACAATAATACGAGAATAGATTCTGTTTTGTAGATTCACAAATGTAAACCCACTTTTGTCCCACCCTGTGTATATTAAGAGAAGGGGATGTTACAATATAAACAAAAAGCCAGCTTTTTTCTTACGAAAATAATTTGGAAAAGGTTGCTAATCGTTGGTTTCAACTGTAAAAGCACGTTAAATTTATGCAATGATGTGTCATTCTCAGTTACATAAAAAGTCTAATTAGAACTTAAATCCAATTAGCAAATCCAAGTGTGTTAAAAGTCTAATTTAATCAGAGATATCGTAGTCCTCTTGTCAAAGTTAAAACCTTATGAAATTTCTTTTGGGCTTTCTTCTCTTCTGAGGTCAACTGAAGTCTATCCTCAATTACATTGCTTGATGTGAATTTTTTCTAATGACTTTTTAAAGATTTTATTTTTTTAAGCCAAATAGTGAAGAAGTGATGTACAATATTAGGACAGGGGGTAAATTTCCAATGTGCTATCCATTTTACAATTATATTACTTGATTCTTAGCTGAATGAATAGCTTTTGCTACTTCATTTTGTTCATGATAAATATGTCTAACCTGGCAAAATAAACACAGAGCTCATTTTTTTCACATTGAGTGTTTTTATTTTTAAGTGTGGTAAACTTATTGTCAATTTTGCCTAAATAAATGACATCTATTAGTGTTAACCCGACCATAATATTCTGGTGTAATGGCTAGTTAAAATATTAAAATTTGCTGAGCAGTTTGTTTCAGTGATGCTATGGAGAAACATTTAAAAATATATGGTTTCCACCTTCTTCTTAATTGTCCTCCCTTTAACATAACTGAATATAGCTAATTGTTTAAAATTTCTAAAGTACTCTAGTATTGGGGGGTTTGAAATAACAATAATAAAAAAGTGCCTACTGGAGTAAAGTAGGTAGATCTATCTTGTCTTCAAATCAGCATAATAACTTAAACATTATTTGTACCATACATGATGTTTCTTCTCTCTTTTTTTATTTTATTCATGTTGATCATCTAGTGGCCCTATCTTTATAAACCACCCCTCTCTTTGGTCCTTTGGAGAATTGCTTTCTTTCTTTTTTTATCCCGAGACAAGTGTTCCAAATGATCCAATTTTTTTTCATAACTATAGCTTCTTGGTTTAGCAACTTTAATGATTGTTCATGTGACCCAAACCAATCAATGTCCTTCCTTGAAGTTTTATTTTTAATATCAAGTGTGTGCACGGTCGTCAAGTAAATAAACTGATATGAGGTACTTATATATTTTAGTGTTTGGCCAGATTCTCTCACATAAAAGACATAATTTTCTCCTTTGCTTAATGGCTTGATAAAGTTTTTTTATCTTTCTATTTTCTTCTTCCTACTTCCCCCCTTCTCTTTTTTCCTTTCTTTTTCTCTATCAGACTCACATGTCTTTTGATTATAACATTTGTGAAGTTATTCCTGTTCTTATTAACAGCAGCCTATATTTTAGGATTGGTAATTCCTTTCACTTAACTCGGTTCTTCATATGCATGAATTCTAATACCTAATGTTACCTGAATGTTAGCTGTGGACCACATGAACTGGGATTTTTAGAGATTGAATTTTAAAGCAAAGAAAGTATAAGACCCAAAATCTCTGGAAAAGTAGAAATAAAATATATCTAATCATCACATATCAACAGTGGGAATAAGAAAAAATATATAAAAAAAAATAAGACTTCCAGTCAAGATGGAGACATAGGTAAACAAGGCTTGCTTTCTTGCATAACCACATCAAAATTACAACTAAACTATAGAACAACCATCATTCAGGAACATTAGAAATTGAGTTGAATAGAAGTTCTACAGCTATGGAATTGAAGAAGAAACTACAGTGTCACTGGTAGGAGGAGTGGAGCATGGAAGGGCTAGTCTAACACTCATGTGCAGCAGACAAAATTTGGGAGGGATTTGTCAGTTATGAAGTGTCCTGGCCACACATCAAGGTCCCCCAGCCCGATTACAGTGCCAGGAAAAGAAGTCGCTATAACTTCTGGCTGTTAAAAGCCAGTGGGGATTGAGGCTGTAGAAAACAGAAACTGCTGGATTCCCTGGCAGATCCTCTTAAAAAACTAAGGTACAGACTTACTTAGACATACTGCCTCAGAGCTCCAGCATGGGGCAACAGATTGAAAGGCATCGAAGAATGTGGACGAACTGAACTGTACAGCACCAGTGGGAGAATTAAAGGGCAGTTTTCTTCCAGAAAGAAGTGCTGGCAGAGGCCAATGTTCCTTTTCTGGGGAGCCCTCCCCTCACAGAGCCACAGAGCTGAAAGGAAGGTACCATATCTGTAACTCCAGCAACCTGGCTCACACTGTTTGTCCCACCCTGGTGATTTCCTCATCCAACTCTCTGTCACCCAATGTTTGGGCTCACCGGAGCTATTTCCAGTAGCTTTTCCATATGAAGAGCTTGTCTTGACCCATGCTTCAGACTTTCTAAATTATGTCAGACAAGCAGCATCTGGCTTCAGTGAGCCCTGTACCTCTCACTAAGTTGCCCCAGGCCTGGCACTAGCAGGAGCTGGCCTTGGTTCACAGCTTGGCCTTGCCTGGCACCTCCAAGCCCAGCACAAGTAGCAGCCATCTGAAGATTGTTTTTTAGCTTATGCTGTGTGATGTGGGACAGAACACAGGCAGTGGTTGACCCTGGATGTGCCAACAGTAATTTAGGCTTGACTATAACAGGAGAGTGTACACAGCCCACACAGGGGCCACATTTAAGTACCCAGTGCCTTTGACCCTACAGGGCACCTACTACATTAGGCCACCATACCAAGCCTGGGAGATGTAGAAGCTCTACATAATAAATGAAACAAACACAGGGAGCCTTCCAAAATGAGGAGACAAAGAAACATGGCCCAAATGAAAGAACAGAACAAAACTCCAGAAAATAATATTAAACTAAATGGAGACAAGCAAGCTACTAGATGCAGAGTTCAAAACACTGGTTATAAAGATGCTCAAGAAATTTAGTGAGGACCTTGATAGCATAAAAAAGGGGGCATGAATCCATAAAAATAGCCAGTCAGAAATGAAGAATACAACAATTAAAATAAAGAACAATTTATAGGGAATCAACAGTACAGTAGATAAAGCCAAGAATCAAATCAATAATTTGAATCATAAGGAAGCAAAAAAAACATTAAGTCAGAACAGCAAGAGGAAAAAAGAATTAAAAAAATGAGAATGATGTAAGGAGCCTCTGGGACAATTTCAAGTGTACCAACATTCACATAATGGGGATGCCAGAAGGAGAAGAGAGAGAGAGCAAGAAATTGGAAACCTGTTGGAAAAAAATGATAGAAATTTCCCTAACTTGGTGAAGAAAATAGATATGTAAGTCCAGAAAGTACAGAGAGTCCTAAGCAAGATGAACCCAAAGAGGCTGACCCCAAGACACATCATAATTAAAATAGCAAAGGTTAAAGGCAAAAAAAGAATCTTAAAAGCATCAAGAGAAAAACAGTTAGTAACCTACAAGGGAACCCTTATAAGACTTTCAGCTGATTTCTCAAGAGAAACTTTGCAGGCTAGAAGGGATTAGCAAGAAATATTCAAAGTGATGAAGAGCAAGGACCTACAACCAAGGTTACACTACCAAGTAAAGCTATCATTTTGAATTAAAGGACAGCCCTGGCTGTATGTATCACTGAATTGAGTGCTGGCCTGTGAACCAAAGGGTCACTGGTTCACTTCCCAGTCAGAGCACCTACTTGGATTGG